ATTTGTGGTGTTGGGCAAGTTATGTCTCCCACCAATCCAATATTTAACTAATTACCGCATAAATTTATCTCAATTCACTTAAATATTGATCACGTTAACATATCGCAGTCCGCATATATTCATTATCATGGTCGTGTGATATAGCACTAGTTCGTAGCCTCTTTTGGCATACATAAAATATTATCCCAATCATCATTGTCACACTTTTATGCCTTAAATCATTTCGGGACTTCATTCATTAACATAAGGAGGAACTCGGTACCTTTTGCTGGTGGGAGGTGGCAGCTATCCCTTGGACCTAGTTGAGGTGTATGCAAGCTGACTCGGATACCACAGTTATTTAAAAAAAAAGAATATAATAGAAATAAGATTTAAAAAAAGGAAATTCTTCCACTTATTTTACTGGTGAATTCCTTTCTAGACCAAAGAGTCCATTTTTTAACTTTACCAATCCTCAAGGAAAAAGAATATAAATAAGATTTTTAAAAATTAGCTCCACCTTTTTTTTTACTGGTGAATCCCTTTCTAGACTAGACAAGAGATCCATTTAGAGTGAGCAATTAATTGGAAGTAAACGGCTGTCAAGAACTCTAATTATTTTACTTAGTTAGTTAGTTAGTTATGACAGCTGTACCAATCAACTTGGTAGTTAGTGGTTCAACTTAGTTAGTGTTTATAATCTTAGCTTAGCATAGACAATTGTAATTATATATAGTGGTGGTTCCACTCACTTTCTTTTCAGTCAATTCATTCCTAATGTTCTAGATTCTTCTCTCAATATGCTCTCTCTCTCTCTCTCTCCTTCTCCCTGAGTGCCTGTGACGCGAAGGTTGCAGCCTTATCACCATTAAAGCTCAGCTTCAAGCTACAGTAGAGCTTCAATTACTGTTCGATTGGCTAATTCTAATTTGGTATTAGAGCAAGGAGCTTCGATTTTGGATTCGATTCACGAAATTTGCCAGTTCTCTCTCTGTTGATGACCTTTCGAACTGGATCGCACACATGCAGTTTCATTTCTCCATGGATTTCGAGTTGTAGCTTAAGGACAGGTTTTGTTCTTACTTCTGATTCACAATTGTTTGAGAGTTATTGTCAAACTCCTAGTCATATTACATTCTAGTTATCAAAGTCTCTTAGATTTTCTGTAAACAACAAATATGACATCTGGTAAGAGCGATAATCAACCAGCACCAACTGTGAATGAACCTACAAGTCAGTCAGGTATTGACATTAGTAGTCCTCTATACATGCATCCATCTGATAATCCTGGGACAACCTTAGTTCCTGCTCCGTTTGATGGCTTTGGTTATCAATCATGGAGAAGAGGTGTGATGCGAGCATTATCTGTGAAGAATAAATTGGGATTTATTAACGGAGAGTGTAAAAGACCAGATCTAGACTCTTCAAAATTTCGCTTATGGGAAAGGTGTGATGACATGGTTACATCGTGGATCTTAAACTCTTTGACCAAAGAGATTGCAGACAGTGTTGAGTACGTAGCTAATGCATTCGAGTTGTGGAGAGAACTTGAGGATCGATATGACCAAACAAATGGGACGAAGTTGTACCAAATTCAGAAGGAGATCAATGATCTATCTCAAGGATCCTTTGATATTACTAGTTATTATACAAAAATGAAAAAGCTATGGGAGGAACTCAATACTTTGATTGCTAAATCTCACTGCACCTGCAACTGTTCGTGTGGAGCTAAGGAGAGTATGCATAAAGCAGAACAGGATAGGAGGCTCATACAATTCCTTATGGGATTAAATGAGACATATACTGTTGTTCGAGGCAGCATATTGATGATGAATCCTCTTCCCTCAATTGCTCAAGCTTTTTCTCTGTTAATCCAAGAAGAAAGGCAGAGGGAAATCAAGCCTACTGGCCATTTGGCACTGGAGTCATCAGCTTTGAATGCCAACACAATCAGACCTGGGACATTCAGAGCAAATTACTCTCCCAACAACAATCATAACAACAGAAATAGACCTTTCTGTGACTACTGTAAGAGGCCAGGACACACCAAAGAAAAATGTTAAATGCTTCATGGATATCCACAAAATTTTGGCCACAATCAGAATCCAAACACAGGTCAAAGCAGCTTCAATCAAAATACAAGGCAAAGTCCCAACTACAACTACAACTCAAACAACAATAATACTAACAGATTCAATAAAGGCAACAGGACACTGGCCAATGTACATGTGGCAGCCACTGATTCTCAACCTGCAGAGATTGATAAGTATGTTAGTCATGACAATCCTCAGAATGTGAGTCTTACCCAAGAGGAGTATAGCCAATTGGTGAATCTACTGCAACAATTTCAGTCATCAGGAATAGGAGACCATGGAGTTGGTGACAATGCTACTTCAGGAACAACAAACTTTGTAGGTATGATAGCCTGCACTTCCTCAATTGACTTTGGTAGACTTTCATGTGAATGTTTCAAGAACAAGGCTGACTCATGGATTATAGATTCAGGGGCATCAAACAATATGACCTTCAACAGATCCTTATTAACCAATATAACTAACTTACCTTATCCCCTGCTAGTCATACTTCCAAATGGCTATAAAGTAAAGGTGACAGAAATAGGTAGTGTAATTCTCAACTCTAAGATTACTCTAGATAAGGTGATGTATGTTCCCACTTTCAGATACAATCTAATCTCTGTTCACTCTTTAGCATCTCATCTAAGTTGCCTTGTTGCCTTTTTCAAACTTTGTTGTGTATTGCAGGCCCTTTCAATGAAGAGGCCTCTGGTGATTGGTAAAGTGAGGGATGGGCTGTATATCCTATGCCCAAGCTGCTTGAAGAAAAACAATGCAAGCCTTGCAGAA